TTTATCGGTAAATATAAATACGAAATATTCAAGTTTTAAAATACAGTATGAACTTAACTTACATAAACAATATTCGTATTTTATTCCTTTGTGTACAAGAAGTCGAGTAAAGAAGAACGTACTGTTTTCTTATTCGATCTGCGAAGAACTGATTGTAGTATTATCAACTAAGTCTGCATTTGGATTTTTAAAAAAGTGAACTCAAGGTATATACTATTATGTAGCGACAAGTAGCGGTCACTTTTTGTACTAACAGAAAGGGTATTATGCACTGCATACTAAGAAATACTCTAAAGTGATCATTAAACTTACATCCATTTTAATAGAATAGCAATTTATTTCTTTACCATTTAAAGCAAAAATGTATACTAATAATATTATATTTAGTCTAAATTTGATAAATTTAGTATGTCTGAAAACAAAGAAAAGAATAGAGAGAAAACTCATAATCTCACATAATACTATTGTGTTTTAACACTACCTAACACAATATTAAGGAAAATTTTCCTAGGCGCCTGGGTTTCTTAAATGGACATTTGCGAATCTCTTAAATTCCCCAAACGTCTAAGTGATTGAGACGGTGACCACCAAATATCTCATCAAATCTCAAATCTTCAATTTTCTACCAAAGGAGTGTTTGCTCCAGTACTCATTCCTATATACAGGGTGTTGAAAAAAGTTACGGCCAAACTTCAGAAGCATGTAGTACTCATCAAAAAGTTTTGTAGATTTATGTAAATTATATACATGTTAAAAATTTCATCGTGACACGAAGTCCCATAATATGATTCCTCATCCGTGCTTTTGTTATTAATTGAAAATTTTTGAAATAGAACATACAATTTTATATGTTTAGATATTTTAAATTTAGATTTTTAGTAATTATTATACGAAAAAAACTAATTTTTGTAGACATTATAAAAATGTTTTGATTTCCCTATATCAATATTCTGTAAGTTTATGTCATTATAACTATAATTTAGTAATTGGATATTTCATATATTAAGAATATATGGATCATTTAACTGATTCAATAAATGTGATTTTTTTTACAAATGAGTATCCAAGTTTAAATAAAAGCGGGAGTTATATTACAAAAGATATGCAAAATGATATTGCTATCTATTAACTATATTTTCAGGTCATTCGTGGTTGTAAAATGTTTTTCGATTCGTGGTATAAGTTACTTTGTATAGAATGGTATTTTTGTATATAAATTGGCTACTATTCATATGATGATTAATTATTACATGGCTTATGTACAATTTTATATAATTGTATGAAGATGTACAAACTTTTTGTAACACCAGTTACAAAACGGATATTACCGCATGGTTTTTTGTTTACATCGAAGCAGCAAGGAATTGTGCAGCGTTCAATGCGGTTGTGTTCCTTCTGTAATTTCTATCACCGCAAAATGTTAAAATGTATGTTTAATACTATGTTGAGTTTTATAAACAAATTTATATTTCTTAAGAATATGTTTAAAATTTATATTCTTAGTTACAATGACATTATTAATATTATAAAGGATTATTTTTTTACTTAAACATTGCACAGTGTTTGTTTTCCTTTTTTAACAATCTTTACATACATAATTTTTGACATATGTGATATATATTTGTTTACAAACTAACAGATATTATTTTACACATATTCCTTGTTTTGATTATGAAATATAAATTTACATTTACATTCATGTTTTACTTATTTTGAAGTATCATATAAAATTATTTAATTTATAGTTGTGAAACATGACCAATTTTGTACAAGTAGTACAACAGCAAATATATTAGATCATTCTCCAATAAAAAAAAAAGTTAAAAAGAGAACTAAAAAGTATACTGAACTGTTAACAGGTAAACTTTTATATTGAAAGTTTTGCATAAATAAGGTAAAACTTAATTTTCTATATTATATTCTTTTTGTTGTAGTAACAAATGAAAAAGCTAGTAATAAAGGGACTAAAGTACAAACATTACCAGTATCTGATGTATCCATGTTTGTGGAGCAATCTGATATAAATAATGCATATGATATTAAAGGTCCTATAATTAATGAAAACTTTGATTCACAAAATATAATGGAGGATTACCATGTTTTTTGTGATAATGGAATTAATTTGAATATTGTAAGTATATAATTTCTGTTTTCTTCTTTTCAAATACGATAAATTGTTTTATTAATTCATTTGAAATGTTAAATTAATAACTTAAAAAAAATAGTAGTACTGTAAAATTTAAATATCAGTAAGGGAAAATTGATTATTTCAAGTATTTGATGTCAATACAAAATTTCTTGTGAATGTAAATAATTTATTTTTAAATATGTTACCTCTTGACTTGCTTATAAGGAGTCATTTATAAAAAATGTATGCAAATTTGTGTTAGTTGTGCATTAAAATGATATTAGATAAAAAAACATCTTTTAGCTAAAAATATATTTGTAAAAGTTTGTTTTATATGACTATGCTATATAAGTATATTACTATATAACTTCATGATGTAATTATTTAAACATAATATGATTTTATATTTACTTATTGTATATTTATAATACAACAGGGAAAAAATTTAGATATAATATCTAAAGATGAAATAAAACATTGTGAGAAATTTCCTGATAATGAAAAAGTTTTTTGAAAGTAATAAATCAATAAGAAATAAAAGATTAAATAACATATCGGAATCAAATGTGTAAGTATAATAAATATAAGTATAATATGCAGATTAAGAAGCATAATTGAACCATCTCCCCTTCTGCCACCTTGCTTCTTCAAGTGAAAAAGTATATTCTTTGCTATACTTGATAATTTATGTTATTGCTTGTTTACTAATAGAAAAAAGAACTATAAGATTATACATAAAAATAATGAAGGTAACTTTAAAATCTTGTAAAAAAATACAAACAAATTTAACATAGCTATCTTGAAGATTTTTCAGAATTGTATAATCTATAATGAAAAAAATGTTAATTGGTTTACTAATACTGATAATAATAGATGTTATTGTGTGATATTGTTCATCTTGTATAATAATATATATATATCATAAAATTTGGAGTGTATGTAGATTAAGTTTTAACTTTTCAATATATTAGTATGGAAGCTTTACACATTCTTTGGTTCTTAAACAATTAAATAAAACTTGTATTAATATAATATTTTTTTGGCATGATATAAATTTTTATTTTAATTGTATTAAAATCAGATTATTTTTCTGGTTTTAAAAGATATGAAATAAGTGCACTATAGAAAAATATAATAGAATTTTTACAATTTAAAATCTTTATGATATAGTCTTTTAATTTTATTAATTTATTCTTCATGTACGTATAGTTATTGAATATTTATTATTATTTTAATAAATTTTGGTTAGTATCTCATTTTCTAATTTTAATTAATAATAATCTTTCATGAATAAACTATTTTTTAAAAATAGAATATTACCACAAAAAGAGATGGAATTACATAAAATATGGAATAAATACACTGAACAAAACTATACTGAAAATTTGTTAGCATGTATGCAAGTGTATTTAAGGTGTGGGTTGTTAACTAGAGCAGACCATACTCTAATGAAATATAGAAAAAGTTTTCAAAATAAACAGGCATATTGTGATCAACATATTGAACTTTATAATGTACTTTTGGAAGCTTATGCTTTTAAGAGAAAAATTGGAAAAGTTTTAGAGTTATATGATCTAATTAAAAAAGACTCGTTAACACCAACACCACAAACTTATACCTACATATTTGATGCTTTAGGAAGAGAGACTACAAATAATAACAGAATTGGTAATTTTATAAATAGTTATATAAGTTATATAACATAACATAATATAATATAAATATATATATATTTATTTTGCATTGTAGCATTATTGGAAAAATTAAATAGTGAAATGAATAGTTATAATATATCTTTTTCTGACATCTTTAATAAATCATGTTTGAAAAATGATCAGAGAAAAAATGTATTGAAACTAATTAAAATATTAATGCCACATTTTGAGCCATCTTATACACAGAAGTGTACTAAATATAAATGTCAACTTTTAAGTACAATTCCACTGAAGAATAATTATGAAAGTCCAGTAAAAGGACTATTGACTATTGAAGAATTAAAAAAGCTTTTTGAAGTTCAGTTTGAAAATGAATGTACTATTGAGGTGCAGATACCAAGTATTGAAGCAGATGAGAAAAATTTAAATACTACTTCGACATCGGTAAGATATCGTATAATATTTTATTGTTTAATATTTCAATATAATTTTACTTTCTTCAACAGTAGTTTAAGCGTTAAGTGGTATACTGTGCGATCGCGCTTCTGCTTTTTAGTGTAAAAAATTGCTGTTACATCTCTAAAGTAGGTCCATTGATGATACATTCCAAGGAAAACAATAAATTGTTGAATACTATATTAAGATTTGTTGCAAACTAATTGACACTTAATGTTAAGTATTGGATAAATAATAATCAAAATAGTTGTGTAATCACTGTTAAACACTTTATCATATGAAATAATAGAAGTGTTACCACACTCATTGGCACTTTGTGGATGTATTTCTGCAACCACCTATTATGTACACTTAAATGATTAAAATTTACATTTTCTTTATATAAACCTTAAAAGTTTGATACCACAATAATTGTTTTTTCTTTTTCATTAGGAGGAAAATATTAACAAAGTAGAAAGCTATTGGAAAAAGGCAGCATTAGCAGCTTTTGAAAGGAACCTAAAGTGTTTAAAGCAAAAGGAGTGCCAATTTCATAACAATTTAATGGTTCTACACCCATTTTTAGAAGTTTTGGATAAGGAATACTATATAAATGCTATATTGCGAGAAATTAGACAGATAGCTAGAGGTTTAGAAAATTATAGTTCATCTCTTAAAGGATTATATATCAATTTAGGAAAATACATACATAGAAAATATGAAGTACGAAATAAAATTGAAACTAATAAATGTACTGGAGTATTGGATAATATAGTTAGTGTCTACTTAAAGTATCTTGATTGGTACCAACACCCTGAAAATGTGACACATTTAAGTAATACGAATAATCGTACCATATGGCAATATTATGAACATGAAAAAGTAAAAAATGGTGCACCTTTACATACCATACCTTTACGTTGGCCTATGGATACAATTATAAATGTTGGAAAATTTTTATATAATATTATATTAAACGACATAATACTTCAATCTGATATTTTAAAAGGACAAGATTTAAAATGTTCTATTCCTGCATTTTATACATTATTTAGAAACAGTGGAACTTATTTGTCAGAGCAGGTTCGTTTATAAGGCAAATTAAATATTACATAAATACCTTTTTAATACATGAAATTAATTTTTATGTTATAGATTAAGCCTCATCCTTTTGTGTCAAAGTTATATAAAGAATCACATATAAAAAGTATAACATTTGATTCACTTGAATTACCTTCTCATAGTCCACCACGTCCATGGGTATCAATATATTCAGGAGGATATCTCATAACAAAAACAGATTTTATAAGAATTCCAGATCATACTGTAAGTTTGCAATTATTATTTAGTTAAGTATCTATGTAACATAATGGAAAATAATCTATTTAATATTATCACATTTTTGTGCTTTCCATTTTAGTTATATTTTTCTCTAGCACATTGCTAGAATAAAATTTTCTTTTTCTAAATTAAAAATTGTATGTGTTAATATGTTCAAAAGTATATTTAAATAAATAAATTTTTTTTAATGACAATAATATTAGATGAATCATCTTGCACAATTTTAATATTAAAATACCTTATGTTTAAATTTTTTTCAGAATGGTTCATGGCGTAAGCTTCAAAAAGCATCATCAGTACAACTATTTCCTGTAATTGATTCATTAAATCAACTTAGTTCTATCCCATGGAGAATTAATACTGTTATACTCGACATTGTAATTAAGGTAATTTTAATATTAAAATAAGTTTTTAATAAGTATTACTAGTAACAAATGTGAAGTAGCATTTATGTATTTACTAATTTTAATGTATATACATTTTTGCAATTAGATTTTTAAAAGTGGTGGTTCTATAGAATTAAATGTTCCTCAATCAATTTCTGTATTATCTCAACCATCTCCTATAAGTAAAAATGCTACTGCAGAAGAAAAACAGAAAGCAGCAATAGCATGGGCTCGATATAAGCAACAAAAGTTTGACATGTATTCTCTGTGGTGTGATGCTCTATACAAGCTATCAATTGCTAATCATGTATGTATTTTCATTCTTTCAAACAGCATTTTCATATACTTACTTTGTTGTAAATAAATGAATAGAGTATGTGTACGTTTAATGAAATAATAATTAAACTAAAATTACTGGTATAAAATATTAGACTACAAAATAGATTACAAAATCTATGAATTTTTACAGTTCTGTAATTATTTACATAATTTTATATACTTTACAATCTCGTATATTAGCTTTCTTTATTATTTTTAAAGTTCAGGAACAAAATATTTTGGCTGCCGCATAATTTGGATTTTAGAGGAAGAGTTTATCCAGTTCCTCCACATTTAAACCATTTATCATCTGACTTGGGTCGTTCTTTACTTTTATTTGCAAAAGGAAAACCCTTAGGGCCAAATGGATTAGATTGGTTAAAACTACATGTTATTAATTTAACTAACTTTAAGAAGGGAAGTTCAATTAAAGAACGTCTTAAATATGCAAATGAAAATATGGAAAATATATTGGATAGTGCTGCTAAACCTTTAACAGTAAGTTTTTATTTAGAATGACAATACTATGCTTTCTTTAATTTATTGAAAAACAAAATAAAGTTGTAAGATAAATTTATAATGATATTTTTATACCAAGAAGGAATATGTACAATCTTAAGAAAACAAATTTGAATGAATCTTTTTGTACTAGCAATACCATTAATGAACATTGTTGTGGTAAAGTAATAGGGTACACCTCCTAAGCAGTTTCAAAAATTTATAATATTGCAGTTAAAACTAAAACTAAAACTGTAACACTAACAATAAGTTGAAGCTACAGTTAAAAGCTCATTCAAATAGGTTTCCCTAAGGTCGTGCATGCACATTTCTTCTAAGTAAATGTATATGTATTCTTTCGTATCGAATATTCAAAATAATTTAAAACAGAATTGGCATTTATACTGTGAAGGGTAAAATGTGGTGGGCACAATCAGAAGAACCGTGGCAGACTTTAGCAGCGTGTATAGAAATAGCAAATGCATTAAAGACACCAAAGGTAGAAGAATATGTAAGTACGTTTCCAGTGCATCAAGATGGAAGTTGTAATGGACTTCAGCATTATGCAGCACTTGGCAGAGATCAAATTGGTGCAGAAAGTGTCAATTTATATTCATTTGATTCTCCACAAGATGTATATGTGACAGTTGCATCTGTTGTAAGTTTTGCTTTTTGTAGATATCAATATAAATCTTTTGTTAAGAAAAAAAATTGTATTACTTTTTAGGTTGAAAAGCAACGACAAATTGATGCAAAAAATAATATTAAAATTGCACAAGTACTAAAGGGATTTGTGAAAAGAAAAGTTATAAAACAAACTGTGATGACAACAGTATATGGTGTAACAAAATATGGAGCGAAACTTCAAATAGCAAAGCAATTGGAAGGTAAATATTTAATTTCAATTCTGTAGAATTAATTTATATATATTGGAAAATCTACAATCTGATTCACTGAACTATTATACATAAGAACTAATATATACACACATTATGTACTTATATATGTATATTCTATTTCACTGTTTACAATTTTGTATAGATACAGTAAACTTTCCTATGGAACACGTTTGGTCTGCCAGTATATATTTAGCTGATCGTACATTTTATAGTTTAAGAACAATGTTCAAAAGTGCAAGAGAAATTCAAGATTGGCTTACAGCGTGTGCTCGAATTATTTCTTCCATTTTTTATGAAAATGTAGAATGGATTACTCCATTGGGTCTTCCTATTGTACAACCTTATACTAAACAAAAATTTCATAAAAATTTTATCAAAAACACTGAGTTAGTAAAAGTATTCAATTTCACAATTACGTATATATAAAATTAATTTTATAATATTAAAAAATAAAATATTTTGGTAAAGAATGTAATTTTTACCTGTAGGAAACCTGATACAATGAAACAGAGAAATGCCTTTCCACCAAACTTTATACATTCTCTGGATTCCACTCATATGATGCTTACTAGTTTACATTGTAATAAAGAAAATGTTACCTTTGTCTCGGTACATGATTGCTTTTGGACTCATCCTTGTACTGTAGATACCATGAACAGAGTGAGTATAATATAAAATGAATATAGTTTAAAATTTTAAATGTTTTTCATACTTTATTATATGATATGATTATTATCTTTTATAGATATGCAGAGAACAATTTGTTGCTCTTCATTCTGAGCCTATTCTTGAAAATTTAGCTGATTTTTTTGTAAACCGTTACGTACAAATTTATGAGTAAGTAATATTTATGAAACATTATACATTTTTATTTTTATATGTTAAATGATTTTAAATATAATTTTTAATGCTAATACCACAATATTAATGTTACCACAACGTAGTGTACACATTAAACTAAGTATAATATGATTATAGGAAACAACCAAGTAAACTGATTGATGTAAAAGAAGTACAAGAATTTTTAACGAGTGTACCATCAAAAGGCACTTTCGATATTAATAATGTTCTGTCATCTACATACTTTTTTAATTAAAATTAAATGAAGTTTTACAAATTTTATGCACATTAAAGATAAAAGTAAATTACATGTAACTTGTAAATATTTCACTTACATATTGTTTGATTCTTATTTTATATTGATTTTATCATATTTTAATACAGTAAATCCTCTCACATTGTCCTTCAGTTCGAAACCGAATTGAGACAGTTTCGGCAGACGGAGACTGTTTTTCCAGCCTCACAGCTCACCTTTGTAGTGCGCCAAACAAAGACAAATAAAAGTAGTGAAATGAAAGTTAAGGCAACTGAAAGATTTAAAAACCAGCATACTAAATGCTATAATAAGGATGATGCTTAAACTTTTTTATTTTTAACTTTTTCTGTATGAAAAAGTTTATAACACATTGATGAGATTGTTCTGATCAGAATGAGACCAAGCATGATATAATTATGACTACATTTACTTATTAATACTTATTGAATAGCTCATTTCATTTTATTATCACTTTGAATGAATTACAAAAACGGTTTGCTAGAAAAATACATGAAATATCTCTACACATTATCCGTTGAATGTATAAGCTGTGCCTAGATAATGTGGAGGCACAGCATACACTTAACGAATTGTGTGGAGACACAGCTTACATTTGACGGACAATGTGGGAAAAGGGGTTACATTCCAAAGACAATGTAAGTACATAGAGGGATATTTTATGTATTTTTCTGGCATCACGTTTTTGTAATTTATCAGAAGCTTGTTGCGAAGACATAAGACTACATATGTACAGAATAAAAATTACACATTTCAGCTCAACAAAATTTTCAGAAGTTTCAAAAATTTTATCAGTTTTTTTCATTTTTCACAACTTTTCTCTTATTTTTGAGCCAAATGACTTTTTCATTCCTTGAAACGTGTAGAATCATATTGTAAATGAATTTTTCTTTGGTGATGAGTACCGAAATTTGTGTATTTTTAACATTGTACTTTAGCCACACATGCCAAGTGCAACGAACTTAAGTCACACGTGTTAAAAAAAAAAGATGATACCGATTCTTCTGTTGCGTACTTTGCGGTAGTCACGGGAAAAGGGATAGTGGGTTGGTGCCCATAGTGCTCGCTGTGGTGCGGGAATATTCAAATAAAACTTGGAAGATTTTTCATTGCAACTAGTACTTCTATATTTTACAACTGTTCAAGACCTTTTAAGATTAACGAAGCTTCAAGACTCGAGATACAGAATTGGAATGAATGACTTTGGAAATTTTTGGACGCGAGGTCTCTCTTCTTGTTCTTCTCCCAAAATCTGGATCCTCCCTTGCTGGTCCTCCTTCCAGATCCTGGTGGTCCAATCGAGAGACAGTTTCCACCCCATAGATCGACGCTTCTTCTCCCACACGTACTCCACCCCCAATCTTTCGTTAATGGATGGTGGTAGCAGCGCTTCGTTGGTAGTGGTGGAACGCAACGCCGATGTAACCGCCAACGTAATGTGCACATGCAAGGGAAAGTGTGCACGTAGCGATTTGCGCGAGAACTAGCCTTTGACAATTATTTATAGCATTCTTAGAGTTCTAGCTACTTGACACGACTGGATATCGTTGAGATATAAAACGTTGAGAAAACCTACTTACGTGGCTTAAACTTAACTCTCGAGTAGTTACGGTTCTTGAATAAAATCTTTCGACTACAATAACAAAGCATTTCCATTCCCGAGTTCTAACTTTCCATCGCAGTACCACTCATCTAACCCTTAGACGATTTCCAGATACAGTCTATCTTTTGAGACATACATTATTGACAATTCAAATTGCGCTCCAGCTGTCGCGTCGATCTCTAGATTAAGACCACCCTAAAGCTATATTCACGAGCACGCGTGCGAGTGATTAAAGCTACGTTCACGCAATAGCGTAACACTTCCAAACAGAGAGCTCTGCGTGTGTGACATTTGTAGGGACTTTATTGCGGCAAAAACGTCGTGTACGTTTTTCCCTAAATTAGACTCCCGACATGTCATCTGTATGTCGTGGGATACCTGCGCTTTTGTTACGGCGATTTCCTTTTTTTCTCAGTGAGACGCCGATGAGTTTAGTATTACTTTTTGTGTTTTTTTTTTTATACTTTTTATGTGTTTTGTGAATCATACATTTATATTTTTTGTTGTAAAACTTAAGCCATTTTTATTCCGTCTGCCCGCCATATTTTGAACACACGTGACTTGTAATGCTATACATTTGATTTTTGACTGTGGTATTGTGCGGTTTGTAAGATTTTTTAGTGTTGTGCATCTTATTTTGTAAAATTCAATTAACTGTTTAAATATAGTTTTGTTACCAGTATTATTAATCATTAGTGATAAGTGTCATTATTAGAGATACTAGTACATACATATTAGTAACATAATAGGTGACAGCTATTAATATCGTTATTAGTAATAGTTTTGTTTCAATATACATTAAAATAGTATGGCGACTAAGAAAAAATATATTGTTTTAAATATACAGCAACGCCTGGAAGTTCTGAAAGATCTGCAAGAAGCATTATTATCGGTTTCAAAAATTGGAAGAAAATATGGCGTTGATGTCAAAACAGTTCAACGAATCAAAAAAAATGCTGCAAAAATTAATACCTTTGCAGATAAAAATATGTATGAGAAAAAACGACGAAAAATAGTAGAACCGGTGTATGACGAACTGGGCAAACATTTATTAGCATGGTTTGCAGAAAGAAGGACACTTAGTGACCGTGTAACAGACGCCTTAATGTTAAAGAAAGCCAGGGAATTAAAAGAAAATTTGCCATCGTGTTCGCGTTTCAAAGTGAGCCGTGGGTGGTTGTCAAAATTTAAAAAACGCCATGGCATACGTTTAGCGTGTAAGGAAAAAGCTAGTGCTGACCAAGATGTTGCAAACACATTTATAGATGATTTTAAAAAATTAATACAAGAAAAAAATATAAATTTAGAAAACATTTATAATATGGATGAAAGTGGGCTCCTATGGAAGGCTCTTCCAACAAAAACACTTGCAGAAGATGAAGCAAGAAACATTAGCGGTTATAAACTTCGAAAGGACAGAATTACCATTGGATTATGTACAAATGCATTAGGCACACATAAAATTATGCCACTAGTAATATACAAATATAAAAGCCCAAGGGCTTTGAAACATGAAGTTTCCTTGCCTGTCATTTTTAAATCACAAATGAATGCTTGGATGGACCGGACATTATTTTTAGATTGGTTTGAAAACCATTTCAAACCGTCTGTACAGGAGTATCAAGATCAAAAACAAACATTTGGTAAAGTATTTTTGCTATTAGATAATTGTGAAAGCCATAAAGTTTCATCAGCAGTACAGGAAGATGAGCATTTTAAAATTATATATTTACCACCCAACGCAACTTTTATTCAGCCAATGGATCAGGGAATCATAGAAGAAACAAAAAAAATTTTCCGCCACAAAATGTTACAGCGTGTTCTAACATATGATAACGGAGTAATTGAATTTTATAAGGACTACACATTAAAAAATTGCATTGATATTTTATCCAAATCGTGGTTGGAAATTACACAGAGTAATATTAGAAATGCATGGAACAAAATTATTGGGCCTGTTACTCCTTCAAATGACGTGAAATGTAAAACAGAAATTCAACTTGATTGGGAAGACATGATAAGTGTTATCACAGGAGAGGAATGTACACAGCAACATGTTACAGAATTTTTATCTGTTTGTGGAGAAGCAGAAAGAAAACATGAAGAGGAACAAATCAAAGAAGAAACTGTTTCTGAAGAAGAACCCCCAGAAGAACCACATGAAATTATTTATCAAGAGCATAATAACGAAATTGTGAGAAACGAGTTATGTAGAATATTTGAACAATTAATATTTTACAGTGC